ATTGGCTCCTGCTTACCCCCCCCTGCCTTGCAACCCTTTTCATTTGCCCTTCACTTTATCCTACACCTTTCCCTTCATCCCACCTCATGCTGCAGTCCCTCACTCTTGTTCCCACCGCCAGTGCTCACCTAGTTCTTGTACTGCAGCCATATCTGTGAGAGAGGCTCCCACCTCCAGGAGGGCCCTGCATTCACAACAAGGCTCTGCACCCCTCCTCATGGCTAGGTGGGGGCTCACAGGGTCCCACACTCTCTCCCTGCTATCTCCCTCAGCATTCACAGCTATCAATCTCTAGATTTTTAAATGGCACTTACGGTTGTGCCACTATCCTCAGGGTGTAGAGCAGGCAGCTCAGGAGGAAGGGAGTCCACATTTTCATGGGAGAACCCCAAAGGGGTGGATTCCTGTCAAGGGCTGATCAGGAGAGAAAGTAGGGTGCTGCTCCTCCCCTTCCAAAGTCTCCAGGACACCTGCTGTTGTTGTTTCTCCCAGGAAGCAGACACAAATACCCAAGGTTTCCTTCCCTCCACCTCATTCCTGCATTTATAGTGCCACAGGCACAGGGTTGTACCATTCAGGATGTTCCCCAGCCAATCCAAGTCCTTCTGGACTCCAGCCTCACTGCTCTCCTACTCCCCTGTGGATGGACCAGCATCATTCAGACAAATGTGCCTTTTATTTTGCTAACCAGCAGCCTGTTTCCTGTTCACTGCACTGCCCCTGCTCCCTGGGCCAGTTGCAGCCCAAGTCCCATTGTTTTGCCTCTGGCTGGATTGTCCCATGACCCACGTGGCACATGCACCCAGCTGGAGCTCACTGTGAACTCTTGTGGTCATACTGTCCCAGGCTTTCTGAGTCTGTAGCACCCAAGGGAAGTCTCAGTCCTGAAATGGAGATCAGGCTTTGTACAAATTCTGTATATTTGCACAGTTCTCCTTCACATAGAGGGAAAGCACAGGGAGCAAACAGGGCTAAAATCCTCACCTTGCCTCTGCCCTATGGGTATTTGATTTTGAAGAGAAAATTCAACAGCTGCAACTCACCCCAGCTGTATCACGTTGCTCTGTGCTCCAGTTCAAGGCCAACCTACTCACACCCTCACCAGTGGAGGAAATGAGGGCTAAACATTGGTTAGGCAGGTCAAAATAGGCATGGATGAAGTCCTACAGGGTCTTGTCTAGCTACCAAAAGGCTGTGCTTGAGCATGGGAACACACGCTATCTGGTTTGAGGCCTTCTTTCCACATGCTAATTTTATATATGTTAGTCCACTGATTGTACTGAACTTTTCCCTGAGTATCATACCATAATTGAAAAGAGAATCTGGTTCTTGAAACTACTTATTCTCAAAATAAGAAGTAATTCACTTTTAGTATCAAGTTCATTTCATATAAAAATGTACCACTAATTTCTTGTCAGTACCAATCTCTTAAACGTGTAGGGCCTAGCAATGTTTTCCTTTGCTTTAGTACAGACTGACCATAACAAGGAAACTGGGTTTTGAGGCTTTCTTTTACCCATTCATGTACACATGTATAATGGGCAGATACAACTCCTCTCTCTCCTTTCCCTCTCTTGGGTTTTGTTCAGGACAGAGCTGCTGGTGCCAGCAGTTGGGAAAAATGTATAAATGCACCTGGACAAACAAGAAAACAGGAACCAGAGCAAGAACATGAATCATTCTCTGACACTAAGCTGCCCTTCATTTCTTTCCATGGGTCTCAGAAAGTACAGGCAGTGCCTGTTGAACAATCCCAGCTGACATTTGTTTGTTCACAGTAGATCCACAGCAGTTCCAGGGGACAGCCAGATCCCAAATGACAGCACAGGGGCTCACAATGGCAAAGGAATTGAGTGTCCTGACTCCTGCTGACTCCAGCAGCTGTTCTGTGAGAGCAGACATGTGAATACCTCTGAAGTGCTGGCCTTGGCACTGTTTGGAAAGCTACACCCTGAGCACCCAGTCTAGTCCAACTCCCAATGGAACAGGATTAAATAAATGTAGGAGCAACAAAAACACAGCAGCAGGCTTGGTGTGTGTGTGATTCATCTGCCTCAGTCCTATCTCCATTTCCCACCACCAGCACAGCGTCCAGTTGCTGGTGGGCAGGAGGCACTGGGGAACACCTCTTAGCAGGGCTCTGCACCCCCTGGGACTTGGTGACAGGGCACTCAGTACCTGGGTGCTGTCCTGTGCTAAGATCCTTCCCCAGCCCACAGATCCACTCATCACCTGGCCCAGAGACAGGCAGGAGGCACATCCATAGGGGATCTGTGTCCCTGGAGGCCAGCTTGTGAGCTGATCACGAGCTAAATGTAAGCCTGAATCACCACAACCCCTCAATTTTGTGAAGGATAAAAAAATGACTGGGATGTTTGACATCTGCTGCTCTAAGCAGAGAAGGGGATGTTTAAGCCAGAGAGAAATCAATGTGTTTTGTACAAAAGTGGTTTTTTCCCTGTCTAAATTCTCTTGGAAGACAACCACCTCCTTCCAAATGCTCTCTAGTAGCCAGACATCACAGGTATTACTGTTTAGATCACATAAAGAACATTTTAAAGGACACAGAACAGTTGTTAAGAAAGTGGAATAGAAATTACAATGGATTATTGAGTCAAAAATGACACTATGTGTAATTTTTACACAGACTGTGTAAACACACATAGGAGTAGCAAGGGGTTGTGTGTGACCTCCTTCTGCAATGATGGGCTCCTGCATGAGCTACTCCTCATGCTGTCAGCAAGGGGTAGGTTGGATTCCTCTGTGTTATAACCACCACAGAAAGTTGTTTTCCCAAGAAACCTCTATGCTGGGGATTTTTCTCAGACCAGTGCTGCGCTAAGCTCTGCAAAACAGATTATAAGAACATGGTGGCATTGGCAGTGATAGGTGGAGTTCCTCCCTCTCTGCAAGACTCCAAGCTCTAGGCAATGTACTCTCAAGTACCAGTGCCAGCTGCAGACCTGGCTGGCTCCAGTTCTGCTTTTTGATAGCAGCAAGGACAGACTTTGCCAGTGGTAAAGGCAAGGGGGAGAGAAGACATTTGCAAAAAAACCAGAAATATTTGCAAAGTGTTTTTTAAAAGTTTGAAAGAAAGTAATCAAAAATTCTGATCTGCAGAGTTGAGACCTGCATTACCATCCAGCTGCTGTGCTGAGCTCATGCTTTCATTCCAGCCCTACTAAACTGCACATGAAGCACAGAGCAGGCTGTCAGCAGCCTGCCTTGCTGGCATATCTCAGTGTGCTCACTCTTATACAAAAAACTTGTAATGCTCATGTCTTTGTCTCACAGACAGGACTTGCTGACTCTTCAGGATTACTCTGGAGCATCATAGTGAAAATTTAAACACAAAGTTCCAAATCCCTCCCATTAAACCAGCACAAATCCCAGCCGTGCTGCAGTGTGTGGAGAGCTTCCAGGGCTGTAACCAAACCCTGACCCTCAACCTTCACCTGTCTTCCAGACCATCCTCTCTTAAGCCTGCCTTTGCATTTACCCATCACACTCTTACAGCCAGCTCTAGGGAGGGTCTGTGGAGATCTACCTGTTTATACAGAGACATGTCACTGTCAACCTAAAAGATCTGTGATCACCAGCGTTTAAT